TAGAAGAGTGTGAAAATCGATATTTTCAACTTTTTCCAAATAGAGACAAAGATTTCTATGAGAATACGTAATGGCATTACCTATGAAATGGCAAAAAATTTCGAGCAAATCGATGCTTATTTGATATATATCGAATAATTCCAACTATGGTAAATAAAGCCTTCAATACATTGCCAATATAAATAATTAGCTTTTACAAGACACCTTAAAAATATTTTCCCATACAAAATAGACTTAAAATATGTTCATAATAAAGTACTACTCAAAATGAAATATTTCGAAATAAATAATATTAGTGCTTAAAGAATAAGGCTAAAATTAATAATGCTTCTACCCGCAATATAGCTTTCATAACCTTTTTTCATTTTACCAAATAATACTTACTGAGAATTCTCATATTTAAAGACAAAATCTAACTTTAACTTATTGTAGTTCCAGTTTCTACGCTTAAGCACTTTATTCATTTTCAGTACTTTGCATAACTTTTCTATTACATTTTTATGACTTGACGTGAAGCAACAAAAAATTAGCCCGAAAGTTTTTTCCCCATAAAGCTTCTTTGAGAATTTTGCCCTTTAAACATATATTATACACAAACAAATATTACAATCAACCATAAAATGGCTATAAAATAATATTCCAGAAATCCTGCATGAATACTTGCAAAAAACTTGTGTTTATATTTAATATTTATATTTAAATAGAAATATGCGAAGTCACACCAAAAGGCCTTCGGGTGTGGGTGTAAGCTCTTATAGTCCTTTCTAACACCAACAATGAATAATTGACATAAGTTGTTTAAAAATATTCGTATACGTTTATGTTGACTGTACTTATGCACGTATGTCTTCTCATAAATTTATAAAGCAAATTTCTTATGAATTTCCACCCATCGGGGCGTATACGTAATATGGTTATATCTTATAGCGTTTTAACCTTGAATTTCTTGCAAATTAAAAAAGATTGCACCAGCAATAGAAAAACACCAATGGCAGTCGTGCCTTACATAGAAAGATTTCCTGACTGTGTAAATATTGTAATAATAAGAATAATACAAATATTCTTCAGCAGTATTTACTAGAAATATTAATGGATATGTGAATGTTTTTTCATTTATTTCTTTGTGGCAGTAGAATAAAATTTTTCCAGAATTTTAAATTAATAATACTTCCTATAAACTTCCGATAATTTACCATGTTTGAGAAGTCCATATCAAGTATTGTTTGATAACAACATTAGTTTTTTGTGCCAACTTAAATAAGTCAGGTTTATTAAAACTAGCTTAAGAACTGCGTTCTCATGGTTTTATTATTTATGAGTTTTACTGTTAAACTCTTAATTTTATCCTATTTTACTTTGATTGGGTTTGTCTTTTTTTAATTTCATTTTATTTCATTTTAATTCCTTTTTTTTACTTTTAATTTTAAAATTAATTTTATTTTAATTAATTTTATTTTATTTTATTTTATTTTATTTTGTTTTATTTTATTTTATTTTATTTTATTTTATTTTATTTTATTTTATTTGATTATTTGTTTTCCTTATTTATAATTTTATATATTTTTTATTCATATTAGTCGTTTTGCTAACCAGTCATATATCTACAGTTTGATTATTCACCATCTCCTAAAAATTATAATTTAGTGCTTTTTTTTCATCCATGTGCTTTCAATTTAATTTAGTAACATTAGCATTAAATGTACAAAGCAAAATAGAAAAACACTGCTAATAAGATCTACCAATCTGGAGAAATATAATCACACAGATTTGTATATATAGACATGTACATACATTTTTTGTTTACGAATTCAAATTATAAATTTATTAAGCCTTCTTTCCCAGACGAGTTGATGAACCGAAAAATTATGGCAGCGAGATGTGAGTAGCACTCAAAATTTTTAATTTGCAAACATATCATGACCGCTAAGCAAAAATTTTTCAAAACAATTAACATATATTTAACGCAACAACTACAATATCAACAAATATCAAAACACCCGCATTGGCGGAGCGAGCAGCTGCGCCACCACGTCAGTGATTTCTATAACGAAATGAGCCGATATATTTATTTTGATGTTAAATATGAAAATTTTTTGGTAGTTTTCGAGCAGTTGCAATACATTTTTGAAAAAATTTCCAAATGCAAATGTCGTCGAACGATATTCCAAAGGAATGCTATTCTATTCAAAAAAATATTAAATTATTGGTTTGGTTGAAAAAAGTTGTAACAGTAAATATTAGTGTGTAATATACCCTTTTATATTTATTTTGTTATAGCTAAAAACAAAATGAGATTTTCGATATTTCCAAAAAATCGTTAAAGCCGGAATTCGATGAATTTCATACCGGGTATAATTCACCCCCCACATTGGTGTTGTAGGCGAAATATGAATAAAATTCCAAAAAACGCTGCAAGTGGTCTGCCATTCCTCGCGAGTGCACTCTTTGTGTCATTTCGCACATTAAATCGATAAAAGAAGGCAAATAAATATTTATCATGGAAACATATGTTACGAGCAAGAACCTTTCCAATACAAAATATGAAATCTTATTTAACTGAGACATGGAATATATTGTGGCTATGCTTTTGTTTCTTATTTAGTTATATATTTTTTTCCTTTGCAAAATATCTCGTGGCCATAAAAACTTCAATTTACAATTTTTGGATATGCAATTCACATCTATGTATACATGAGTCTATCTGTTTGTATTTATCTTGTGTTTTGCTTCTTTAAGTACTCCTATACACATGTATATTGCTTGTTTCAGCTTTTTATTACACTTTTTTGGGATTTTCTACTTTTCGCCTTATAAATACAAGATTTTCATCAAATGAAAGCAAACTCGTAAAAATTTGAAGATTACGACTATTCGAAGATGTTGATGGGAAACATTTATTAAAAAAAAGAAACTAATGTGTAAAATCGGTTAGCTAATAATTAATTACAGAAATGGACGACAAACCCAAATGAGTTTTTTCACAGTTTTTATCCTAAAATAATATTAAAATACATAGCTTATTCGATTACGCTGTATTTGAAAACAACAGAAAAGATCTCTCATTTACGAAATTTAAACAAAAAAAATTTTAAAGTAAGATTTTGTTCACTATGAACAGCATTTTTTTTTTAAATACGAAAAATTTAATGAGGCATTCAAAAAATATTTTCATAATTAAAACTAGAAATTTTAAAATTTTACCGTTTTCATAATGACTTCATATTTTAGAAAATTTTATAAACCGATATAACCATTATTTTGTCTGTTGTCTTTGTTGTAGCAGTTCTCCAAACTTCTCTTAGGAGCAGGCGGGATAGTCTACGCATCAGAGGGAGAAGGAGTTAGATAAGTAGGTTTCTCGTGGTCAAGTCTGGATATGTATGAAGAAATTAATTCGCCTTACAATCCATATCTCGAGCTCTTCATCAGCAATACTTGGTGGTTGGAGGAAGCCTTTGACTAGAAGAGAGTTAATGAAGGTATTGTGAACTCTCGATAAAAGGCGTTTAAGGCCTCCAGGTCCGTCATCCTGCCCAGCGATTTTGACCTGGTTCAGCCTCAAATAATTGTCAATAACACTATATACATAAAATGTATATATATATATAAATATATTTATATGTACGTAACGGCTGATGCGATTTTTCGCCGAACTACAATTTTTATGAGGAGCTTTTTATTTCATGTCAGTTCTATGCACTCGGAGGCCTTGACGTTCTCTACCTTACTTATCGTTCCAAGGCCTTTGATTATTACTTTTTCATAGAAAAATTGTAAATTTGTTTTATTTAAAATATATTTATAATTTTTCTATCAAATACTTTGTAATCTCTCCTGCATTTCTTTTCTTTTATTTTATTATAGTTGATTTGATTTTATTTAACTTTATTATTTTTAATTTTATTTGATTTTATTTTATTTTACTTGCTTTTACTTTGTTTTATTTTATTTAATTTGAATTTATTTTATTTTATTTTATTTTATTTTACTTTATTTTATTTCATTTTATTTTATTTTATTTTATTTTATTTTATTTTATTTTATTTTATTTTATTTTATTTTATTTTGTTTTATTTTATTTTATTTTGTATTATTTTATTTTGTATTATTTTATTTTACTTTACTTTATTTAATTTTATTTTATTTTACTTTATTTTATTTAATTTTATTTTATTTTATATTATTGAAATCAATTTATTATTTTTTAATTCATTTGAATTTTTATTCAAAAAATCAAACTATAAATAACATTTTGTTTTTGTATAAGCTTTTCTAGGAACCATAGCAATAATCTAACAAAATTACAAGTCAACCGGTCGAGATTGGCAGATCTTTTCAGACGAACATCAGATTTTTACATATATAGACAAATCAATGTTTATTCTATTTCCTGCATATTGTTTTGTTTTCCTGCTTTCCGTTTCACAGTATTTTTTTCTGTGATTCTCGTCTGGCTGAAAAGTTCACAACTCATAAATACTAGAATTTATGACCGCTCACTGGCGTTCGGGTATTTTCATTCATACATAAGTAGTCCAAACAAGCAATAAGCTAACACACTCAATAGCTAATCATACCGAAATTCTGCGAAAAACGCCACTTCATTGAGCAAAGAATATCACTTCACGCGACTCCAAATGGTATTAGCCAACTTTTTGGAGAATGCCAGGCGAGTCACTTGAAAATACTTCAAAAACATCAGACTGTTTATAAATTGTAAATTGTATATGTAAATATAATTGTTGAAAAATTCAATTAAATTGCAATCCTTTATTAGGAATTGGGATCTACGACACACAAAATTTAAATTACAATTTGCTCGTGTTCTGCCTGAAACTTTTTCACTTAACACACTATAATAAATTTGTTTATTATTATATATATATATTTTTTTAAGAATTCTTTTTTTACTTGATCTTTTTTCAATGTGCTTGTATTGACTTTAAAAACATTTTTAAAAACTTATATTTTTTAAATTATTTTCTTTATTTTTTTCTCACCTCAAATGAAACTTATAAATCACCACATATGTATGTATGCATATTATTATATCCTTTTGTATGACCACATATTATTATTCTTGTCATCACTCATGTTTGAGCATGTTTGTTTGTTTTGTTTCAATATCTAATCCGTAACTGTCACCACTTATTCCTTTTTCATAAAAAGTAACATATGTCTAAACTTATCCATCATCGCAACAGATACTAGATAACCCATTTCTTATCAATATAAATTTGTTTCCGTTTATGCGCCTCAACGCTTCCAATTCCATTGCGCTCACGGTTCTAACCCGCATTTGCGTTTTCACACATGCACGACCACACACACACTGGCATTTTTATAGAAGTCCAAGAGTTAAATGGTAGTCCATAAGTGTTCCAAATACATTTTACACACTGACATTAACTGTTTTATCACTGCCGAAGGATTCACACCCGCTTTGGTTGCCAATTTCCGTTGTGTTGCTTTCGGCGTTCTTGTCAATACTGAAGCGCGTACGATGCGTGTTTCGCATTTTATGTGGTATTACTGTGGCGAAGGCGCATATTCCTCGTTTTTGCCACTTTTTGTTTGTTTTATTCAACTTTTTGTGTACTTCTAAATCAGCTGTTTTGCGGTTTAGCGAAGCTTTCTTATCAGTAGAGCTTTCGCGTAAGCTTTCTTAGCCGAATTATGCCGGGTACAGTGTGACATTTTGGAAAGTTTCATCTGGTGGTTATGTATGCATATAAATAAATGATTGTTCATGTTGTAAATATACCAAGTTCTATTAGCTATTTATGCAACTGCAGTAAAGTTAATAAAAAAAAAAAAAAAAATTTAATGAACCTATTAATTTTGTATTAGGTGTATGCATTAATTCGTGCGATTTTCTAAGAGAGGGCTCTACTAGTAGTATAACGCATCGTGTTCGTCTGTGGCTATATTCATTTCAAAGGTACTGTCGTTTCGCGTCGTTTTCAGTAGATGTAATTTGTTTTAGCGTGAACAATTTGGTTCATTCATTCGAAAATGTCGAAATTTGTATCAGGCAAAGTGTTTTTGCGGGGAGTTCTTCCTCGTTACTTTAAGATGAAGAAAAGTGCTACCGAAAGCCATCGTATTTTACTGGACGATTATGGTGACCCTGTTTTAGCCGAACGAACGTGCGAAAAGTGGTTTGCACCGTTTAAAAGTGGCAATTTCGACTTAGACCACGGACAGCCAAAAAAATTTCAAGACGAAGAATGGAGACATTGCTCGACGGAGATGCATGCCAGACGCAAGAAGAACTTGCGAAAGTATTAGAAGTAGATCAAACAACCAACATCTTCTTCAGATTCGTACAAATGCGAATTGTTCTTCATCGGTGGTATTTGAAACGACCGATTCGACGCAACGAACGTTTCGCTTTAGCCATGATAATATATATTGTATTTTTTTTTATTTGCTTTTACTTTTTCAGGTCCATTGATTTCGCGTTCAGGGTTCACTTATGTATATATATATATATATATTGAGGAAGCAAACCAGTTTATCTTCTTTTTCCATTTCGAGTTGCTGTGCTTACCTTCTACAATCTGAGGTATATAATTCAAACATCGGGCGGCTGGAGCTTACCTAGAGACTTTGTCAAATGAGTTTCACAAAATAAGTTAACGAAAATAACTTCAGGGAAAATAACTGCCGACGTGATCAACCTTTCAATTGTTTTTTAGATCTCTTAATTCTTGCACTGTTGAGTTATAAGTACACTAAGATAAGATAGTTTTCTTAAGGCAGTAGTCTAAAAATATGTCTCCAAAATTTCAGTGGCCAATTCGACATATTTTAGGAGCTTGAGCAGTTATTGTGACTGAGCGTCGAGCAGGTTCAAATGCTCGGACAGGACATTGAAGCGCGTTTTCTCGAGTTTTCATTTTTACATGTCTTAGAAATCGATTCCCGTGATAGCAGAAAGAATTTATATCCGATCGAAAAAGTTAAAGTGATCTAGCTTCAGTATTAAATTATCTTCTATTTGAACTAAAGGATGGTCAAAATATAATACAATAAATACCTATATTTTTGCAACTTAAACTGATTTTATTTTTTTGGAAAAAAGTGAAGTGAAGGGGAATTTTCCAACTTCTTCAGTATATTTTTAGTTCATGCAGAAGAGACATTCATAAAGATTAAAACAAAAATTGGTTCGACTGTTTCTGATGCCTCGAACGACCTCCAAATTGTCTTTTGAAGTTTAAACACAGTAAATTATGGTCTGAAAATTTTGTTTACCGCAATAATTTCCTTCCCTTTCAAAAAAGAATATTGAAAAACGCTTTCTTTTCGAATTATAAAGGCTGTCTTAACGCTACCATGGAGCATAGTGTTATCGAGAATATCACACAGTTCATCGTTTCATCGTCTACAGTATTCGCCATTACCAATGCGCAAAATTTTTTTCTCAAAATCTCATAAGCGGTTACGATCTCCATGGATTATGTACCATATACGAGGTGTATTCAAAAAATATCGCAAATTTTGTGTTTTTTTTTAAATTATTTATTATATATATTATTATATATATTATTATATATGTCTATTTTGTCCCCTTCAAAGTAATCCCAATGAGATATTATACACTTGTGCCAACGGTTTTTCCAATCTTCGAAGCACTTCAAAAAATCATTTTTTCTTATCTTGTTCAGCTCCTCCTTCGATACCGTCTTTATCTCGTCAATCGTAGTGTAACGTCGTGCTTTCATGAGCCTCTTCAGTTTAGGGAGCAAGAAAAAGTCACAGGGGGCCAGATCTGGGGAATACGGTGGCTGCGGCATCATTAGTGTGTTGTTTTTGGCCAAAAAGTCGCGCACAAGCAACGATGTGTGAGCAGGAACGTTATCGTGCTGCAAAAGCCATTTTTTGTTCTTCCACAAATTCGAGCGTTTCTGGCGGATTGCTTCTCGCAAATTGCGCATAACTTGCAGGTAATATTCCTTATTGACCCTTCTACCCTGTGGTAAGAACTCATGATGCACCACGCCCCTGCAATTAATTTTATCCGGCACGCTCTTCGTCGTTCACATCTTCTCGGCCTTCTGAGAACATTTTGTACCACCGATAAACGTTGTTTCGGTCCAAGGTAGCTTCTCCGTATGCCACAGTCAACATTCGAAATGCATCCGCGCACTTAATTTCGTTTTTCTCACAAAATTTGAGACAGGTTCTTTGACCCATTTTTTTGAATAGGTAAAAATCGAATGCCATCCAAAACACGTGCAAGCAAAGCAGCTGTCAACAATTAAGTGAACATTCAAAATGGCCGGGCTTGTCGGCGTAAGTGACAGACATGAGTACCAACATAACGCCACAAAAAAAATCGAAATTCGATTATACGTAACCCGCGAAAATTCAAAAATCGCAGTGCTTTTTGAACACTCACTCGTAGTATTGTAGAACGAGAATGATGAGTAACTTGAAAAGTTAAGTTATTGTTTGCCTAAAGAGCTTTCCGACGTCGAACCTTTCAAGTGTTTGTTGAGGAGCATGCTTTGCTCTGACAATATAGTAATCCTATACAGAACGTACGCACATCTAAAACACTGAAGATATGTCTTCCGCCTAACACAACTTGATGCATTTTTCGGCATGTTTTTCGATCTGGAGAAAACTTGATGAATTTTCTTGTACTAGAATTTGGTTGTGGAGATAAACATATTTCGGCCCCTACAAACCTCATCCCCTTTGGCCGTATTTTATTATTATTGATAATAAACGCGTGCGTCAAATAAAATAATAGTAAAATTTTGAAATATATTTGTTTTGCCTTTTATTACATTTTTCGTACACATATATATGTATGCATTTATATTACATACCTTCATACTCACTGAAATCGCTTGCCTTGCCTCATCTATGCCAATGTATTAAACAAAACCAATCAAACGCATTTGACCAACTGTTATGGCAAAACAAAATAATATCTTTAAGTGTATATATGAGTGTGTGTGAAATTTTATATGACAAATAACGGTACTTTACAACAAATGTTACAGCTGCATGCTGAAATATCTGAGATTAACAGTTTATTGAAATGAATATATTTTATATGATTCCATATGCACTCATAAGTAGTGAAAAATATTATCACACCCACACATGTGACAACTCTAGTTTTCAAATTCTTTACATACATACGGAAAGAAGTCCAAAAGGCTGTCGATGAAAATATTGAAAATGAAATATAAAAAAGGTTTATAAATTCTCTTGGAAATGGAATCTTCCTGAATATATTTATAGGACCGCCTTGATTGGTTTTGGTTATTTACCATGATATTCTTCTTTAATCTATATACGGTTACGCTAATATTTTCTTTTTATAGTGAAATAGTGAAATTAACTCATCAATCAAATCAAGGGCAAGGTCATGAACTATTTTTTCACATCTTGCCATGCTCCAGCGGCAGCAATAGCCAAGTGGTTCGCAGTGCGTACTATCATTCGGAAGACTCGAAACTTTATCTTGTATCGGTCACCATTCAAAATTGTTTAAATATGATATTAAGTTAAGTTAAGGTCGCAGCTCGGGAGTATTTCGAATGTATTTCTGGCGTGAAATAAAAGCTTATCTTAAAAATTGCATATAAGGCTGGGATACTCGTACATTTTCTTATTAGGCGTTTACATTCTGGATACGTAAAAAGTTCTACCTAAAATACAATCCTGAGCGAGGGCACCTTCAATCTACTTCCGAAACTATTTAATAGAATTCCTCTTTTATGACTTTCACTCCACGAACTTTCAAACTTTCCCTCGCATGCATGGGCCCACATTAAGACTAATAAAAGCTTTGAGTTCTCGTAAATATTTGTAGGTGTTGGTTAGTAAAAGTGAGAAAAGAAAAGAGAAGTTTGTGTAAATATTGTTAACCATAGGCAGTTCTTGTTGCTGCTTTTTAAGGGTAGCGTTAAATATGGTCATGCTGGGGTTATCTCAAATATGCATTATTCTGGTATGAAGCGTGTAGAGTAAAAAAAGGATATAAAAACTTTCAGAAGAAGATCCTGATTTTAAATTGGAGTTCGATAGAAAAGTTTGTGGAAAAGTGTTCTTTGAAAGCTCTTTTTTAACCAATAGTTGATATTCTAGACTCTTGTAAGGCTTGCTGCTAAGGCATACCAATTTGATGGCTTGGAAGCTATAGCAACTTCAGCTTGTTATAAGCTTTTATCATACCCCACGAATATCAACCCTTCCGAGTGTATTTATGAAAGGCTCCTCACAACGGTTATAAATCACTAATGAGATATATATATATTTATATTTTCCACAAACTTTTCTATCGAACTTCAATTTAAACTTTAAAAGCATGAAATTGGCATCGAGGCTGTATGGTTTTATGCTTTTACAAAGGAAGTCCAAAGCTCTAAAAATTCTATATCAACTTTGCTTTCGATTTCACTTAGTACGCAGTTTCTTCCTGCTATAAAACAAAAAGATGATATGA